TATGACTGTTCATGAACATTTATCATAATGTACTCTGTGGGCACCATAATGAATACAAAATATTATGTTAAAAATTTAAAAGAATAATTTACTCCACCCCCCCCAATGCATATTCATTTTAAACCTAAAATAAAATATTTTGAAATGATAAGGGCTGAATGGATTTGTTCAACAGAAAGATAAAACTGAATTTTTTGGCATATGTTTTATGATAATAGTCATTAACTTTACAGCTAACTTCTTCTAATAAACTCACAATCAAGAGTAAAAGAAGCTCAAAAAAGATGTCATTTTATGTGATATAGGTCATGCTGAGGGTCTTGTGCATTTTACAAAGGCCAGAATTCAGAAGAAATGTGGCATCCTGATAAAATGTGATCACAATATAAATTAAGTATATAGTTTAGGAAAAGGTTGTATTTCTTATTCTTAAAATCTCATTTTGAGTTTTATTTTTGGCAAAGTGGAATATCTATAGTAAAAATAATTAATAGATGCTGGATAATGTACCAGACAGCCGTAAATCAGTAGTTGATCACATGTAATAGAAGACAAAATTAACAACAATCATAATCTGTGTTTAAGAATGCTTATTCTAGGAAAAATAAAAATATAACATAAAAGGAATTGAAGCAATGTTATCAGTTTATGACTAGGAATTCAACTATCAAATAAAAATTTATTAGGAACACATATACTTGCTCTTTATTTCTTCAGTCATAAAATCTTTTTTATGTATTTGAAATCAAGCATAATTTTTCTATTTTCTGGACTCATTATTCTGATCTTCAAAAAGTCATTCTAGTATTGAATTGATTGAATTGGCACATTCACCACTGGAAGTATTTCAAGGCCTATAAGAAATCTTTTGTGTCTTATGCCTAACATGCTTATCATAAAGAGCAAGACTCCATGTCATCTCACTGCTTATTTTCTTTATAGAGCTTTACATATTATGACATCATTATTTTGCTTATTTTTGACCACTTATCAACTCTATCCATTATTCTTCTAATTTCATTACTTTCAATGCTATACTTGTTATTAGTAAAAATAATCCTGTGTAACAGAGAAGAATTTAAAGTATAAAGGATATTAAAACAAAATTGATGCATCCAAAAAAAACCTGATCATTTAAACCCCTTGTTTTATAGTTACAGAATCTGAAGCTCAGTGTTGCATTCAAAGGACTTCAGCTCATTTCACTGCTGAAATAGAGTACACTTACCACAATTAATGAATCACCTTGGATCCTCTGGCATTGGAAACAGAACCATCAATCATTCAGGTAGAGTTTAAATATAATACTGGAAACATTTTAAATAGAACAGAAATGTTCTATACTGGCAGCCTTTTTCATCTGGTAAGATGAGCACAAAACCAAATACATACACAGTCAGACTGAATAAATTTCTCAGTTAGTTTATGTGTGTGTATTTATTGAACATCCAGAGCAACAGAAGAATTAGAATCTCATTTTTTGATAGTTTACAAATGGACCTTTAGGAATATGAAATCATTTTCATTTATAGGAATTGTATTAATTCCTGAAGGATAATTGATCACAGTAACATAATTTATAGAGTTTAAATGAAATGTAAAGTGCTATTTATTATTTTATTATTTTTCTTAGAAATTTGCACTATTATTTAAAAATTATTGGTTATGTTGCTGTTACTATTTGCTTTGGAGCTATAATTTATTAAATTTATTTTTCAGAATGGTGTGGCTAATTATAAAATGCCATTGACTAAGCTGTAAATTCAAGATGGAAAAGGTTGTATTTCTTATTCTTAAAATTCTATAAAATCAATTTGGTAATTATTGTGATGCAGGGAAACAAAGGACTATATTTTAAAAAAAACTTTGGTTATTTCTGTCTTTCACTTTACAGGTCCTTACTCATTTTGTAGGAGACAATGAGTCACATTTCCCATGGTGGTCCAAAGTTTTTAATTTTACTAGTCAATCCATTTCAATATTAAAGAATGTTATAAACATCAGGAAAATACTAAATTCCTGACATTTTTAAAATTTAAATTGCAGTGTTTTATAAAGACCATTTATCTATAAGACTGCAGAAGTTCATTCTTTCCTTTAAGCTAAACTCATTAGCTACTGTCGCATATCTATAGAAGTTGAGTATGAATAATTGTGTACATTTCAAAAATACATAGCAGGTTTAAAATATACTTTGAATCCATCCTTTATACTCAACTTTTACACATTCTGGGTAATTTATTGAAGACTTGGATGATTAACAATTATGAATAAATTGAGATACTTATGACTCGCGGCCCACTGAGTAACCTCATTACATCTTATTGCCTATAGTTATTAGGAGTTAATTGCTAAGAACAATTTTAACAAAGTTTTGAAATGTTGATAATTTTATTAACATCTTAAGGTTAACTTTATTTATAAATTAAAGGCTTTTTAATCCACAGATTCTTTTGGATTAAGCACAAAGACATATTTACACATTGTGAAGAAGTTGTTTTTTGTCCTCAAGTGTGAGAATGAAATAATCTATAACACATCTTTAAACTCTGACATCTGGGAAAGCTTAACATATGGTTGATCTAATATTTAATTATAGCTTGCAAAACATATTAAACATTGTATATTTAGCAAACCAATTTTTTCATTTTATAGAAACAATTGATATTTACCACTGAATAAACTTAGTGGATGGGGCATAATTGGAGGATATTTGTAAGCTGCAGTTTTTCTGACATATTTCTCATAATATAGCTGACATACTTTTTAAAAAAATCAACTATTATTTATATTTTCAAAAACTAAGCTATTCCTTTTTTGAATTGAAAGACTTTTAACTATCTGAAACTATGTACTTTTTAATAAAATATCACTATTATAATATTATAATAGTGAAATTTGTGTATTGCTATAAAACCTGCTTCTATGGCAAGTAACATGTCTCCCTAAGAGGAAAATATAAACATCCTAATAGTGTTCTTTTTAAAAGTTATCATGTGACATAAAATGAGAGTTAGCTTTTGCCTGACAATTAACAGAAGCCATAGGAACATATGAGACTTACACAGATGCTATCTTCTGTAGCAATGATTTTAGTGATATATCAATGACCTTAAAAAGTAAAGCAACACTGCATTGGAATTATGAAGTTTTCTGGGTTAATGTCTAACTCAAACGCCATATATATAGAATCAGAGCTCCTAAAACTGTTATAAATAGAGGTGCTGAGAGAACCTATTACCTGTAATATTCAGCTTTTGACCTGGTTCTTGACATATAACTAGTGCTATCTGAGTCCTAAGCCATAAGAATGTCTTTTTTGTTTTTTCATGAAGTGATTCTTGGTGAGCTCTTGGATGGGTGCCGGTCACTAAAAAAATCAGGGCATACTGAGAAGATTAAGCCTTCAGCTTCATATAACACTCAATGTAGAAGGGAGAATAGGGAAAGGGAGTTAATACTTGATCATTTGGAATTCCCAAAGGGAATTTGAAGAGCTTCTAGGTTAGGGAACAGGTGCTGTGAAGCTGTGCCACTTGATGCTCCCGCACCTATCTGAATCTGGCCTTGGATGCCTCTCTCTCTCACCTTCCATTTTCCAGCTCTAAAATAACCTTTGTAATTAAAAAAACTAGAGAAAATTCATCTTTTCTCTTGGTTTTTCAACTTGCCCTGGCAAATTATGGAACTCAAATAGTGTTTCAGTCTTGTGGGTCTTTGTCCCTGCAGTAAGAGTTTCTGTTAATTTAAATTAATGTCTGAATTAGCTTGAATTTTAGAGTGTCTGAGAATTTGTTGGTGGGAAGATAAAAAAAAATAGGTCTGATTACCAAAGTTGAGAGTGAGTCTAGATAAATGTATTTTTCCTCATCATCTCACATAAAAATAAAGAAAGTATACCAAAAATAAGACAATAGTATTATTGGACAGCCTAATGCTGTCCTGGAAATCAGTATGCAGGTATTTGACTACATATTTATTGGACCCATTGAAATGTTTTAGTGGCGCGTAAGTAAATTTTAGAGTGTATATGATGTCCAAACTAAAAGCACTTGTATTTTAGTTAGAATTAGCAGTTGAAAATCTTGTTGCAGAATATAAACTTCTCTGTTTTTGTCTGTGTATCTCACCTTGTTTGTAAAGAGATCTTAACAACAAAGGAAAAGTGTACCCTTAAAAAATCTGCATCCAGTGAATATTGCTGTTCTTACAACTGATGAGAAAATATGTCAGCCTTAAATTACCTATAACATTGGGAAGGACATATAGCTAAAATATAGTAAAATACATGTCTTTTATTTCAAGAAAATTATGCAGAGTATATTGTACGTAACCAAGAAATGAATACGTTATCAAATATGCAAATCCTGATTGACATGAGTTTCTAATCATTGTTGTATATATAAAGGTATTTTTCAATGCAATTCATTATATATATGTGGTGGTGTGATTTTTTTTTTACACACATAACAGTTGGTCTTGTCTTATTCCAAAAGTCAAATCAAAAATATTCTAGAATAAACTATTACGTAGTTTGATAAAATGGAGCAATAATTACTGTTATTTCATATTCTTTAGTTTTATTGGTAATATATAAAAGATGAACAATATGTTCAATTTTTCATAAGAAAAGCATTTTATCCAATGTATATATTGGATACTTGCTGTTTGCAAACATAGGTATTTTTTTGAACCTGGTCTTTTGTACTGAGTTACATACCCAGCTCTTTTTCTTTTGCAACAGGGTCTCATTAAGTTGGTAGGTTGTCTAGACTGGACTTGAACTTGCCATTCATCACCCTCAGCTTCTCAGAATACTGGGATTTCAGGCATGTGCTACCATGCTCTTCTACTGATAAATATATATCAAACTTAGTTTTATGAAAGCACATCATAACAGGGTTGATATTTAAAACACATAATTGGAAAGGTCTCTATTCACTAATAATAGATTCTGTTGGTTGTGTTTTTCTTAACAAAATAAATGAAATGATAGCATGTGAGTTTTGATTCTCTTGTTTTGACTATCACATTTAATCATGGTTACACAGTAGCACCAAAATCAGGACAAAATACAAGAATTACAGGGGAAATATTAAGTGATATGAGCTCATTGCATGCTTCAAAGTACCTCATTTTTGAGGAAAATAAAAATTTCCAACTGCCAAAACTTTGCTGTAGTTTCACCCAAATGAAATACACCCCTATCTGTCCCAAACTAAACAAAAGATACAATAGACTGATTTTTGAATAGATATGTTATCTACACTTTATAGACAGTCCATTTAAATAGAAAAAGATTGATTTTACATAAAGCAAGATAAAGTACAAAAGCACAGCTTTTGTAATTTTGGTAATATTGCAATTTTACAAACATATTGCATAGTATGTGTAAGAAAATAGTTCCATTTTTCATATATCTTATATACAAGAAAACATTTACATGAAAGTTACAAAACAAAATAAATGAATAGTGGACCTGATTTAAAGAACTATATAAATAAAGAATTGCTCAAACTCCAAATTACATGTTTCCAATGGTAGCGAATATCCTTGTACATCTTTAACCCTGTTTGGCTTTTATTTATAAATACTCAAATAAATGAGATATTAAGACTGAAAAAAAGAAAAATATATTTTATTATATTTCATCCCTTTAATGTTTTTTAATAACTTTTGCAAAGAGTGGAGCCGCATTAATTAGCACTTAAAAAAATAGCCCTCTTGTTCTAAAAGTATTTCAAATTAATTATATTTTTCAAAGAATTTATAGCAAGCAATGAAAGTTTAAACTCAGCTGAGTTAGTCTATCCTGAGTCCATTTTGGGATATAGTCTGTAGACACTGGGTTTATGAACATTGAGGATTCCTTATGCATGTATAAAAGATAAGTGAACCACTGTAACAAAGTTTTCCTTCTATGGCAAAATCGTCAACTTAATGGCTACAGCTCTGAATCCTGCCAGGAGTATGTGTACTACTTCACGTTATAGTTATAAGCCTCCAAATGGATCAGTTGAAGTAGCGATGTTGTAGAGCTGAATACAATAGAAATTCCAGTCTTTGGTCTTTGACACTTAAATAACTAATGAACTGTGGTTTAAAATAATAGGAATTAATTTAAAGTTGTTTAAAGAAATTTAAATGCAATCTTAATTAACTCTATGTTAATGTTATTTTTGCAACACTCATAAGTATAATATGTAGTAGTACATACAACAAGTAATTTATCCATGTATCTTTAAATATGGCCACATGAGCAATACTAATTAGACCAAAGCTGTGGCAAGTAAAAACGTGAGAAGATTTCACTTGTATAAAATTCAATGGTTAGTTTGGCTTTGATATTTGTAGATAATTTTCCCAATAAATACCTGCTGCTATTTTAATAATTTACTATTATGATATGGCCAATATTTTCTATAAATGAAAATGCTTATATGCATCACTTTCTAGACTATTGCTACCTGGTACAGTGTTATCAGATTTATAATGATATAATTCACCAAGACCTTTTTTGGTCCTAAATATCATCTTGATAAAAGGAGACACTGCCCAAGTGAGTCCTTATGGTAGAATATGTAGTTTCCAGTGAGAAGACACTACAAAAGTTGAGCAAAGGAATTCAGTGGTGAAAAGATCTTTTATCCAAAAAGAAGAATTATTTTTCTATAATGATAGAAAAGTCAACAGAAAGATTAAATTTGGTAACTATGTGTATAAATTTCCTAAACAGTTATTTTGAATGAGCTCCAAATATATTTTTCCCTTTTTAACATCAAACATAATACTGAAGCCTGTCAATCATGCATGAGGTCCCCAAAGTTATCTTAATATTTAAGTATAGCAAAAGAAGGAACAGAAAAAGGGACACACTAGGATATTGGAAAGATTTGTACTGCCACATATATAAGTAGCTTTAAAAATACTAAAGAAAATGGTAAATACTAGTTCAGATGAGACTATTGAATTACATATATCTGAATTTTGCTTAAGTGAATTACTCAGATTTACAAATGAATGTGACCCAACTAAACTTCTAGCTTAATGTATCTCTCTTACAGTTACATATGCAAAAGATAATTAAATATATTTCTTAAGGAAGTTGAACTGGAAATAAAAATCCTGGCTCCCTTTTAAGAAAATGTAGGTTCAGAAAATGTAAGTTCTTCAAATTGTAGTAAATGTGAAGTGTTTAATTGTCTAATATTCTGACCTGATTATCTACTAGGTTATGAAACTTATAGCTTGTGGTAAAATAAGAAAATAATAGAACTGTATAAACGTTAGAAACAAACCAGGAACATTGGAACATTTTTATTTTCTGAAATGTTTTATTGAAATACTCTAAAAGAAAAAAAAGATGAGTTCCCTTTATCTCTCTCTCTTTTTAACCCCCTATTCCAAACTGCACTCAAATGCCTCTTGTTTTATCTATTTCTGGCAAAGAATTAAACGTCAGGAACACTACCAACTCCCTAACTTCCTTCTACCCTTTTTTCTTCCTTCGAAACTGAAGGTGCAAATAAAAAGATAGCTGACTATGATCCATATAGTACACTTTAAATGAATAGTTTTTCTAAGTGTAATTTAGGGAACAGAAAATTTTCCATTCTTTTGTAAAATGTATTAAATTATGTTTATATATGTTCAGGTGTAAAAAATATTCTAGGAAAACAGTCAACAAATCTGTTTGAATAGATTGAAATTCAGGGACCTACAAATCATGAAAGAACCAATGTCGTGTTTAATAAGGAAATCAAGGACTTCTAGAATCAATCTCAGAAGCTTTCAGTAGAATCCTGAAATCTGAGACGGAGTCTATGCTTCATTCTGAGGAATCTAAGAGAGTCAGCCAAGTAGTTCCAATCAGTGATTTAGTGATGAATAGGGAAGTCTGTGTATCATTCTTTTATTATTAATTTGAGCAGATGTTTATACCATTTAGATATGCTTGTCCAAATCTTGAAGTTTTTATGCTACTTCTGAATTTTGTCTACATTTTCCAGACTATATATGAATTGAAAATCTGTCAATACAATTTGTTTTTCTTTTTACTCTTTTCATGCCTTCACCTCGTGTGATAAATAATTCAAGTATCCAGTGCTCCCTTCTACAGTCTATAGTTTTCATTCTTGGAATCAAAACATGTGAGAGCCCGAAGGAACCTCAAGGGGACATTTGATTCAAAAATTTTTATACAATGTTGAGTAAACCAAAGCCAGAGAACCATCTCAGATTTCCCGTCCAACCCAATTAATAACTAAAATAACAATGAAAAAGAATGTATTTCTAATCAAGGTAATGGTTCCCCTTTAAGAAACTTTCTAATTGTTTTAACTTAGGATTATAGAGCTTGGATATATTTTCCATTAATGCAAATTGTTTTCCTTAACGCAATGTAATGATTAGCACCCACGATTTCTCAAAATCTCTTTTATTATGCTTTGCATAGGTGCAAGGATTAGTGTATGAATTTCTCATTTTAAATTCTAATATTTGAATATGGATAAATTAAATTTCATATTATGATGTAAGGTTTTAGTCAATTATACATCTGAAAGTTTCTTCCAAATTTATTCAAAATCTGCATCGTAGCCTCAAAACACAAGCCAAGTGCTATTTTAAGAATAATAAAAATGAAGTAGCTTTAGGACTCCTCTCTTAAATTCAGGATTCATTCATTGAAACCGTCCTTTTCCAATCTGAAAAACTCTAGATAATGGTTCACTTTTCTGCTAAATTCACATTTCTCCCACTTTCATTAGCAAAACCACTTCAAAGGTTTCAATCTCCTACTTTACTCTGAGCTGTGGGGACCTGAACTTCAAAACTCTGGTGGCCAAGTACTCCCAAAATGAAATTTCTACACATCTGCTAATAGTATACATATGAGGAAAAATATTGCTTGACAGGTGAAAATTAAGGACTTACCTTAGTGTAATCAAGTTATCTTCCTATAATAGGAAATATTTAAAATAAATATACACTTTTATATTGCGTAGGTTTCAAGAATTTGAGTTGAGGAGTGGTATGATAAATGAATCTACAGTATTTTGTAGTTATTTATTAGGAGTTATTTTACACAAATAAGTAGTGGTGATTGGAAGGAACTGTGATCTCTTATTAGGATAGCATAATACTTTCTAAAAGTGACTAAGTGTTAGCAGTTGAAGAGAAGTGTGACTAAATTCCTTACAGAATTAATCAGATGAAGTAAACACACTTTAAAGATATTTTAACATTTTTCATTCTTACTGTTTAGTCAGGAATATTTAAATCTAACCTTCTTTAAATCTTAGCTTTCAATGTAAAGTAATGGGCAGTAACGTTTAAGATGATATCCCAATGGAAAGTGAATCCATTCTCAGCATTATGCATTGCATAAAAATTTATTTAAAGGTTGCTTGAATGTTTTCAGTCAAGATCAATTATAAAATGGATGGAACAAACAAGTTGTTCTACTAAAATTTAAATGTAAGTGATAGTATGTGAATTCTCTGGATTCCACACCATCAGTGATGTGCCTCTTAATCCTACCTTACTCCAATAAATCAAATGTTTTGTGAAAAAAGCAAATATGTTACATGCAATAGCCAAGTAAATATGATATAAGGCCATCCAGATCTGACAAATGACAGTATTATGGCATTGTGTTAATTATGTAAAGATTATATTGCTGAGTGCTTTCAAAACTACCTAATGTACAAAATTCTAGACTTAGTAGACAAAGAGTAACAACACATTGAATTTAAAGAAACAAATCAAACTCAAGAAGGGATTGTATCTTGTTTTGTTTTGTTTTTGTTAAAAACTGGTATTGAATTTAATTTTTAGTAAAGCAAGCATTACATAATGCTTCAAAAATTTAAAATTCGGGGATAAAAGTTTACATCCAAAAATATGAATGGAAAATTGTGCTTTCGGACTGTAGAATTTGTTTTCTTACAGGGTTAACCATCTCATCTCGCCATTGGATACTGGGAATTTCATCTATGTAATGTATATATGTGCAGTTCACATCCAGGTTCTGCAAAAGTCTAAAACTGTGTGCTTCACTTCATGTAGCAAAGGCACCTATGTTAATTCTCCCTTTTGAGCAAAAGTTATGATCCATTTTCCGGCTGAAGATGACTTTTCCATTTACAAGTACGTATAGCAGTTCAGTAAATCGCAAGAGAAGTTGGAGGCGAATTCCTGCTTGTAGTGGAAGAAGTTGCTCTGTGGACCATTTGAAGAAGCTCTGGACTGATCACAAGGGAAACCGAGCAGAACTGTGAAGCAGACGAACAGGAACAAAAGGCTTTTCTGGTGTGAGGAGAAATCAGTCACTTCAGCTCCACAAGCAGATGGTGCTACTGGACTGACAGGTGGAACCCACTCCTGCTGGAGAAAGGTAAAGTTTGCCATTGGGGCAGACACATAGTTCGTACACTGTCTGTCGAGAATTTGAGGAGCTTGATGAAGAAGATGAAAAGGAGCCAGTTGGTAGATTTCCCAGCCGGATTTTATCTGCATTTAGGAATATCTGGGGGCGGGGGAAGAAACTGTGTTTTAATTCATTACAGCATTCTGCATCCCTCTGGAACTTTGTGACATGATCTGATAAGATAGACTACATTAAAAACAATTCTATTGGCTTAACTGCCATGCTTTGTTGAACAAATAAATTACATTCCTATAGTATCATCCAAAAATTGTGCAGCCGTCTGTTGCTTTTGAAAGCTAACTCATTATGACAAAGTTCTCAATCTGAAAAGTAATATTATACAATCTGCTAAGTGGTCAGGTTACTCAACACTACAGAAAATTAATGATACTCTCAATTTAAATTCTCAAGTATGTCTAAAGAGTATACAAGTATATGAGAATATCATTGAACATGACTATCCTGAAGAGTCAGGCAATTAATTAAAAAATAGTTTTGCTCAATTTTCTAAATTTTCAGAAAACATGTTGACTCATAGTCTAGAGGTTATATTAGGAAGGTAATCAGCATAATTAATAACAGATACTCTATGTATACAATCAGAGTTTAAATATATTACCGGTTTTGAATAGTGACTTTGCTAAATTTTTTAACTTGAGGAATCACTGATCACAGACTGCCCACTTTTAGGGGCAGTGATTATGTTTTTTGAAATGCTTGGGGAAATTTTCAAATGAAAAATTGGATCATAGATTTGAATATGCAAAGAAACAATTTTCACTGCCTATTTCTTAATTATATTGCTATAAAATCTGATTTCTGCCTAAAAGAGAGGTAAGGTTTGTCTTTGGTTCTGGGCTACAGAACAGTGCATAGACTTGTGTCAGCGCACGCTGAGTGACATAACACTCTTCTTTTGCCTTGGAAATACCTTTCCCCAACGGGATTCTAATACGCTCCCCATCTAAACCAAGCTCATTTGCTTTCTCTTTCGAGAATATTCTCTAATGTTCCAGAATAGAAGGACTCTCTTTATTTAACTCTCATAAAAACTAAATGTTTGTAATACCTCATTGTTGTTGTTCTCTGAATATCTTACTTTATAATAAAATTATACTTTATTCTCTCTACTAACTCTGACCTTTTTATAAAAAGAGAATCATGCTATATTTTTGGTAACTTCAAAAACTGTACAGGCCACTCTACATACTTTCAAAACAAAGTGACTAAATAAATGAACAAATTATAAAATATATGAATAAATCATTGTCAAGAGCATTCTAAGTTAAGGTGTGATTCGAAATTTGTTTGTAGGTATAATGATTCTCAAAATATACTACTCCATAATACTTGGTTAAAGGGCAGAAAAAATAAAGGGAATGAAATTATTTCTTTTCTAGACATTAAAGGCAACATTTGCTTTTCTTACATGAAAGAAAGAAGTGCACAAACTAAGCAAATGCTATGCGTCTCTTTGGGCGGGGTGTTGGGACTCATTTCTTCTCACCCCATGTTTCCATAAAAAGGGACACCAATGAGTGTAACACTAATTTGTGAGACACTTCAGGCTTGTCCACAGAAGAGGAATGACGGTTGCTTTTATTCACTGAGTTTGAGAAAATGAGCTTTATGTAAGCCCTTTGCCATTCTTCTGGTATTTTTATGCTTGCATGGAAAAAATATTTTTGAACTTCAAAAAGCTTAAAAGGATAAATTACCCATCTGTGTGATTTTGATCTGAAAATCTAGAAGTGAATCTAGAAGTAAACAAATCAAAGAACAACTACTTAGGCAAAAAAAAATTCTTAAGACATAGCTAAGAGGAAGTGGAAAGCTAAAGAATGGGAAGGAGGATCACGTGGGACTAATAAAATTACTGTAAGATTTTTTTGGGTGGACCACTCTTTATAAAGCATAGAAAATAAATGTTGCACTAGGAAAACTATTCGGTATTTATACATGTGAGTTTGATTTATTTCACTTACGAGTATGGTCTCAAGTTGCATCCATTTATTTATAAATATCTCAATGTGATCATTCTTTATAGCTGAGTAGTACTCCATTGTATAAAAATACCACAACTTTTTATCCATTCCTCAGTTGATGGACACTTAGGTTGTTTCCAAGATCTGGCGATTACAAATTGTGCTGCTATAAACATGCGTGCACATATATCACTGGGGTATGATGCTTCAGTTTTTCTGGGAATATACCTAGAAGTGGAATAGCTGAGTCAAATGGGGCTTCCAGTCCCAGCTTTTTGAGAAATCTCCAGACCGACCTCCACAATGGTTGTACTAGTCTACACTCCCACCAACAGTGTAGGAGAGTTCCTTTTTTCATAAGTGAAATAAATCAAACTCACATATATAAATACCGAATAGTTTCCCTAGTGTAAGAAATGATAAGAATACATAAAAGTATGTGGTAATCATGATTCTCAATCATATTGGTTTTAATCCATATAATGTTATCACTCATTAATTGCAATGGTTTTAACCTGGGTTGTTCAATTTTAGTGTTGGTTAAAGTACGAATAGCTATTCTGAAGAAAACAACACATCATAAAAAAGCTAGTGCTGATTTAATATCATCTTGTTTTGAAGTCCCATCAAGCTGCTCTACATCTGTTTCCACTGGTTTTAACATGTTGTATCTTACTATATTTTACTATATGCGATAGTATAAACAAAATTTTTTATAGGGAAAGAGATAATATAGAAACCATTGTTTGTTTTCTGGTTCTAAATATCCTGTAATTTCTTCATTCTCTTGCATAGCTTCAGACTGACTTGATATGCTTGATGCGATAGTATATGAAGTTATACTCAAATAATTCAAGGAAGGAGGCACTATGGTGACTACTATTATGTTAGATTATCTGGGGGTGAAACACAATGATGCTTAAATAGTTCGGTTCTGACCTGTGTTGTTCTAATACAATGTCCTCCTTACCTCAATCCCATCCTTTTTTAAAAATTAATCTATTTTTTCAATTAAGGAAAAACTAAATTAAAAAATAACAGGATATATTACAGTAACTTTCTTGTTTTCCTATTAACCTGATATGCTCTCCCCATCTTGTTCTGTCAGATTTTACTATATTCTATTTTGTTTGATAGTATCAAGTTTGAGGGTATAGGCAACCACTTTGAAGGCAGTAAGATATACTATGATGCCCATTATGATTTGACTATTATCTTCTTTTGAAGTCCTGTAAGGTCTCCAGTGTAGGTTTTATTGGTCTTGTTCTGTACTATTTGATCAATTCTATTATACCTGACGATATAGGCAACTTTAAAAAAAAATAGCAAGAGGCACAATGGTAACCATTTTAGGTCACCTGATAGTCTATTTTTACATCATGTACTATGCCCATGTTCTAACCGACTCTGTTTTGTTTAGCCATGTTAGGTTTTATTCTCTCCAAAAAATAATAAGAATTGTAGGAGTAAAAAACCCCCAAAAGTGTAATTGTTATTAAAAAGAGAGGAAAGGAAGGTGATCTAAGGGATATAACTGCATGTATGTTTGAGTGTATAGGATGGAAATCCATATTACTGAACTTTTGTTGGATCATTGATCGGCACTGTCTGCAATATCATTGTATGAATGTTCACTTTACATGCTTTAATTTTATAATTTGGACAACTATTTCAAAGATGACAATATGTAACCTATTAACTAGTGATATCTTACTGTATTTTTTCCTTGAAATTCTGTATTACTTGTACCCTTTTACTGCTTTGTTTTTTTAAAATTTTTTTCCTTTCTTTTTTTCTTTAAATAATAAAAAAATTATAAAAAAATAAATGTTGCTAATTAGTTGTGGTTTTCAAGGCCTTGCTTGTATCAAGCCATGCCTCTGACATTCTCACTTGTGGAACTGGCTCTTTTACTTGGTACCGCCTGGAGAATGAACTGCACAATATAGTGCTTATCGTTCAAGTGAGTCTTGCAAGTGGCAACCTCAGAAAGAAACATAAACTGTGCAGTAATCTTTGGAGGACATGGCCTTGATGTGTGCAGCCAGGGTACTGTTCTCCAGCTTCCATCCTGTTAGGGGCTACTTGGGACTCTATCCAACTACATGCCTTAATTTCATGCATAATCTGAGATCCAAACTGTAGTTTCACCTAGGCAAAGGACTTAAGTTTCATTAATCAATAAATTCTTCACATGGGGCTGCTTGAAAGAGAAAATGCAATATTCTTGGCTTGAGACAGAAAAATAAGGTAAGAGGTAAGATAGGCTATTTTCCATTGATTTCTTCCAGTGCAGTATTCCTGAACCTCTCTATGGTTACAGTGTGGACGAGCTTGACTACATCCTGTTCTGTTAAGGTAGTTACAATAATTTTGCCAATTTCCCATTTCTAAAATTGATAGGTCTATTCTATACTATCCTCCAAAGCCATAATTCATTTTTTAAAAACTATTTCCTAGTCTAAGAATCATACAGCCAAAATTTTAAGTCACCGCTGATCACTTGCAGGCTACTGGAAATTAATTTATTCTATTCTGACATGTTGAAATCTGTTATCCTTAGGGAAATTCTCAATAATTGTTCAAGTAAAAATCTCTACCTTAGTGATTTTGATGCAAATGTTGTATGCTACTTATGCTATTATAACACCCATATTACACTACACAAAATTATGACTCTTTTTCTTCACTACTGAATTAGAAATTGTTTGCAATATTATGTTTGAAAATGACTGTGAATATGCTTCAGTAAATACTTTTATGTACAATTTTATTCTGCATTTCATCAATTATTCTATCTGAATATAATGTTTGTTGTGATCTTAAGTAATTTAAAAACTAAGGGTATGGACATTTTATTTTCTATATTGTAAGGTATCAATTTGTCTTTCTTTGATATGGTCAGCATAGAATTAGAAAAGAGCAATATTTTATATAATTTCACATTCCATAGTAGAATTACATGTTATTGTACTATGATAGAAAATGCTGTATCTTTCTGTAATTTTATTTTAATATAAAATAGACCACAGATTAAAATCTCTGTCTATGATTTATTTATAGCATTATACTCTCTTGGTAATTGAAGGCTAAGCTATCATTGAATCAAAGGATTATTGTGATTGAATAAAAGATATAAATACCTGGTTCATAAATAAGAACAGAACAGAGATTAGTGCTATTAATACTTAATATGGAGTACTGACTTTTAGTAATTTGAATTTAATGATTAACATGCTAAAATATTTTTAAGATACAAAATTTTAAAAAAGATTTATAGTCTGCCTTTGTGAATAAATTTTTGTAGTTTGCAATTGTAGGGAAAAAATTAATAAGACATGTAGATACAGTTTTTTAAATGTTAAGTATGTTTCTAGGTTATTTGCTTATATTACCAACCAAATTTGTAATATGATCTTATCAGTAAATCTGTTTATAAAAAGAAATCAAAACATGTAATTAAAATTTGTCTCAAATCAATGATTAAAATATTGTCCATATTTTATTCATTAGTTACTGCATTGTTTTATCTGATAGATGTGAAATGTCCAAATCCTCTCTTTCCAATTATCCTTCTATCTTCTCGACTTGGTCCTTATGAGTTTGAAATTTAAAAAAAACAAGTGAACACAGAGGAAGGGAATATGAAGGCTGTAATAATGTAGTCCTAACAGCAGTATGTCATATTTAGATCCTTAAGTGTCTTTGGAGTTGGAGAGAAGATTTATAGCATTAAAAGTGTTGCATACAAGAATATAAAGAATTAAGGAAGAATTAAAAATAAATAAGTAAATCCACTCAAGGCAAAAGAGTAACCAAGGAGATGTCTAGACAAATTTTAAAAAGAATATGAAAAAATACAAACAAAAGCAAAAATAATCCATAGAAATAAAAAATGCATGGGTTAAATGAAATATTAAATGCTAGGAAGGTCTTGGGAATGTAGACATGAATATAAAACATAAGTAGAATGAGGTGTAGAGAAATAAAGAAACTAGGAAACAAGTTCCAAGATACGGTAAGAGAATAAAAGTGTACATTTCTTCATAGTTTCAATGAAAGATTGGAAAGGTAATGGGTGAGTGCTAATATTTGAAGAGACAGTTTGAGGAATTTCCAGGGTTGACAGAAATGTAAACATGCACAAACAAAATCAAAATACATATAAGAAATAAGACAAATAAAATCTATGTGGTTTATCACAGCATAGTGGAATGGTGGGACGTCAAATGCAAGGATTATTTGATGCAAGCAAATAGTGGCATGTATATAATCTTCCAGGAAACACAAATTAAAATAAATAGTAAAATAATTTAGTTTTCTTTTTAGACAATTCCAGATGCCATTCATACAGAATTAAACCAACAAAATCAAGGTCCAAAATACTTTTTAGATGAAGATTTTCATTTATTTTAAATTTATTTTTATCTAAAGCAGAAAACAAATGCTGTACTTTTTAATGTTGTACCGTACAATGTGCATTAAATGTACCGACTGTGTAATACTTAAGTCCTGTTAAACGTATTTATCTTTTCAAACATTTGCCATTTCTTTATTGTGAAACCTTTCCAAATCTTCTCTCCTAGATATTTGAAATATTTAGTAAATTATTATATAGTGATCTATAGCCACTAAACTGTGCAATAGTACAAGAACTTCCTAATACTAAGTACAATAAATTAATATGCATTGATTAAACTTTGAAAGAAGCCTTTTCATGGCCAAAAGTGAGAAAAAAAGAACATTTTTATTTTTGATGTTATTGTGATAGTAATTATGTTTGTCTAGTGGAAATTACAAGCATTTAGATGCCCCACTTAAAACTACTTTGTGTATGTAGTTTGTGTACTACTTTGTATATGTATATAGAAAATATACAGACCTTTAATTTAGGAAAGTATCACTAGGTGTTTCAAATTTCATATTTAAGAAACATAAATATTCCTATAATTTAAATTTTCTCATGAAGTCATTCTGTATGTTCAAACTGGAATTTTATGCCCGTAACTAGACAGGGGACAGTGCAATTCCTCGCCTGGGGACTCACCTCCCCTTCTGTAGACTGTAAATGTAGTTCCTTCCGGCAGGTAGCCTTGAAGTCACCTGCAGCAGCGCTCACCTGGACTCCACGAGGAGCTTCCATAATCAAAGATCTGGTTGGTGATTCAAGCCTAAGAGGAAAGGAATGGAATCATTAACAATAAAGAGAAAAATGTCTATTGAACTAAAGACAATATATCAACTGAAAACAACGGAACAAAAAAGCTATAAGTAGGCATAAAATCTCTGCCATTTCAAGCAGAATTTCAATGTAGAATAAGTTTTAGAATATTTAATCGCCCTATTTATTTTGGGCTTATTGTAAAAATCCTAATTTGTTTACATCAATTATTTACTCTCATTTGTATGATTTAGTAAGAATTTCTTATGTTGCTTCCCTTTATAATGTTCATGAAAAGTAGGTCAAGATTTAAAGTTTACATGCTTAATCTTTTTATATATTATCAATATTAATGATGGAATTTTAGTAAACAAATTGGAATAATTTAGGATATACATATTCCTTAATAAAGAGTCAGCCTTGCAAAGATGAAAACTTTAATTCAACTCATTAATGTTGCAAACTTTTTAACAGTGTGCAAATTTTCTAAACTAGAAAAATTCCAAAGTACATATTACACTTCCAGAAATTAATTAAAATAAATACATAGCACATTTTGTGTATCAAATGACCTTTATCCAGTGTAATATCCATAGACTGACAATGGTCTGAGAAAGAAAAATCAAATGGGCAATAGTATACCAAGACTAGACTACAGAGCAAAAATATGAGCAGGAAAAAAGCTAATGTATAACAAGTGATTTTTTTTTTTTTTTGATAAATGTTCTGTTTTGAAGATGCAAATGCTTTGTTTCACTGAGCCATTCAGCCCCTCAAGCTCACATTCAACATAATCCAGAGCAACTGGTTTCCTTTGTGGCAGGAAGAGCCACATCGGAGAGATCTTTGAGGTTCAGCTCCTAGTTGCAGAAGTCAAACTTAGAGGGTTAAAAGCGCTGGGGAAGGGGCTGGGGATTTAACTCAGCGGCATAAGTGCCTGCCTTGTAAGCAGGCAGTCGTGAGTTTGATCCCTGGTACTGATAAAAACTAAAAAAAAGACAAAAAAAAAAAAAAAAAAGTGCTGGGGAAAGAGATGAATCAGGATTTAGAAAAAGTGATTCCAAAGCTTTCACCTGATTTGTTTTGTATTACATCTTAAAACACATTTGCAACTCTCATCTCCAGGAGCCATTGTGCTATCTTCATGCAATCCTTGGAAGTATCCAATTTTGATGATCTATTTTTAAGAAATGTCTGTGTTTTGCCATTGCTTTAAACAAAAATGATATTTTTCATACATTTTAAATCCTGACAAAAGACTCATAATCTTAGCACTTAAAAAACAAACAAAACAAAACCATCTCTTCCTGTAAGTGGCCCGAGATGACCTGTGAAAATGGTTTGCTACTCTCTTGACCCAGAAAATCCCACAAAATCATGCAAATCAACAAGGTCAAATCTTTGTGTTCACTTTAAGAACTCTTATGATGCTGCCCAGGCCAATAAGGGTATGCATATTTAAAAGTCCTCCAAGTGTCTGAAGCATGTCATATTAAAGAAGCAATCCATGACACTGCGGTGTTAAAACAGTGGAGTTGGTAGGTCTGCCCAAGCCAACAGTGGGGCTGGACACAGGGTTGGTGGCCCAAAAAGAGTGCTTCATTTTTGCTGTACATGCTTAAAAATGCAGAGTAATTCTGAACTTAAGGATTTAGAAGTAGATTCTCTAGTCATTGAACATATCCAAGTGAATAAAGCTCCCAACACTTATGGAGCTCAGATTCAGATTGACCCATATTTGTATTCCCCTGCCATAGTGAAATGATCATTATTGAAAACAAATAAACCATTTCTAGATCAGAAGAGGAAGTTGCACAGAAAGAAAAAATATCCCAGGAGAAACTGAAGAACCAAAACATTTTAATTCTTCTGGGAAGATATCCAGAAGGGGAATAGCTGGGTCAAATGGGACCCTGGTCCATACTATTTTCATTTTGGTAATTAGCCATAGCTACACTTGTATTTATAAATACTTTGATATGACTGAGCCATTCACACAGAAGATGGATAACAACTTAATTAAAATGACTTACTGTTAAGAAGCAGATCATTAATCTAATATTTGAGAAATACAACTTGGTGAGCTTATAATGGAAAAAAAAGCACATTTACTGATCCAGTAATTAATATAGTTCAACTTTTTCCAATGAAAATATTTTGAGGTTATTACTCATATATTTGATGGCTAAATGTTTATACCAAACATGCAAAAAGTTTATACTGCGTGATATTTTGTACTGGCACATTAAATATGGTAAATATTTCTGGGTGCTTGAGATTTTACATTTTCTTATTTATTATTTAATCAAAAATGTTTATTACATGCATATTCATGGTAGACATCGGTATTAATTGTCAGAATAATCACAGTGTAAAGCACATTTAGCACACTGAGAGCATCTCTGTTAAGGCAGCAGACTTTGGCAGCTGACTAAATCTAGGTTCAAGAATATTAGGCAGAATCAATAAACCTCAATTTTTATCTTCTCCAAATTGATAATTATGATGTCTGCTTAGGTCTTCATTGTAAAACTCAAAGGCGATAAGTATGCATGACACATCTTCCCCTGTTGGTTTCTCTCTGGTTCCTTGCTTTCTTCCATTCACTGGTGGAATCCTTTGCCACAGTGATGGAGATGAAGAAGCCAATAAAAATTTGATTATCTTAACCTTATGGAGATTTTGAATTTAAAAAAAAAAACTTGTCCACTTGATGTAATGAAAATTACTCTATAAATTAATAAAACTTCAGAAGAAGACTAAGGTAAATGAGAATCTGTGGTTTGTTTCATCTATTAAAAATATTCTGTCAATCCATTGGATAGAGAGAATTTGGAGAAAAATCAAAATTGATCTAGAAATTTTCCCATGTTTTAAAGTTCTGAGGTTGTAAGTTGTTTGCTCTTTAAACGTCAGAAGTGTGTGGCTGGCGATGGCTCAGAGCAACTGGGAGCAAATGCCTCAAAGGGAAAAGAATAGTACTACTCATGGTGAGCGAGTTTGTTAGCTTGGATCTAGGAGCCTGTAATGAACAACTCTGAGTCCTGAATGTTTTGGCACATGGTCAGCCTCTTGGGGAAATGGCTGAAACCCAAGGACACAGAGCTAAAATGATTGAGCTTAGTTTCTGATATTCAGTGGCGGTCAAACATATAAATTAGATTTTATAAGAATAGCTTCATTTCTTGCAACTAACTTTTTGGCTTAGCACACATATTTATGCAGCATGTTGTATAAAATAAAATTAGCAAAGTTACTGCAATTTTACACATTTCCAATTTCCTTAAGCGCTGCCATAATTAAAGACTTGAAAGTTCTAAGTATACATTGCAAGTCTTGATAAAATTAAAAGTAGCAATGCTTAAGCAAAATTTTGTTTGCTACTAAGATAGAAGTCTGTTTTGAATAATATCCAGTGCTCAGGAAAGTAATATGTACTAAGAATTTAAAATTGTTTAGGGAGTGTTCAATTAAAGAGTATGAAAATATTTGGATGGTTTCTAAATTCTATTATCAAATGAATATGTTGTATAGTCAAATAGTTTTTTGCAACTATAAAGTTAGAGAAAACTTATGAACCATTTTATAACTTTTCTTGCTTAGCAAAAACAAATAAACTAGTTATTGTGGGCCATATCCTAGCAGGACAAAAATATATATGGAGACCTTGACAGTCTTAAATTAACGCTATTTTGACTAGCAAAGTTTCATTGTAAACAATTACAGCTGCACTGTATTTGAATCATTCATTGTAGATATTTATAATTGGAGGAATATACACTATTTGGAGCTGTATATTGTCTCTAGTCATCATAAATGAAACAGAATAAAAGGACATTTCTTCATATAAATGTTGTACAAATTTTATTCTATGTCACCATCTAAACTTCAAGAGGGTAAAGTAATCTTTGCCTAAGAAAGTAATCTTTGTCTGTAACCATAGCAGTTTCCTCACTCTTTAAAAAGACACTGCAGTTATATATTCATATGATTCTATTATCTACTCGAGATCATTAAACAAATAGATGGAAACACAAAGTTTAAATGATATTATAAAAAGAAAGCATCACATATTACTAGCCATGTCAGCTTTGAAAAAGTGTTAAGATTATGTAATTATATATTTCTTGGATTATTTTGCAAATAATATTTTATCAAACCTTTATTGTAGCTATGCATTCTGGAAGGTATATTATAAATTGTAGGATATTAGAAAAACATTCTCTGTATTAAAATTATTGGTGCATACTATAAAATCATGCTAATTATTCCCAAGAATCTGCTTGAGAAATTGAGGTATAAACTCACCGAAACTTAATTACTATGTGCAAGAATTATATCAACATAATGAGGGAATTAAAGTAGAAATTTGAATAAGAAACTGTACATGGATTCTATTTCAAAATTTAAATCCAATTAAAATCTTCAGAGCACAATTACCTCATAAATAAAACCATAATTGCAACACATTTTAAAAATAGAATATTGTAGTCATGGCAAAGCAACATTAGATTAGCCCTTCTTTATTAGTGAGTTAGCCTTATAATTGCAGTAATGCAATAAAAGCTTATGCTAATAATAAGAAATACTCTGTGCTTAAAATTGTATGGATGGTCTCTCAAGCATTCCACCAACATGAAGAAATGAGTATTCTAATTATTCATACTTTATTTACAAATTATTTGAATATTGGGGTGGGTGAATTATTTCCTCAGGATTATGTTGTTAGTCCAATGATCCTAGAATAGGCAAAATGATCTTGAAAAAGAAGTAAGTTAGATAATTTAAAAGCTTATCACATAGCTGTATAAGGAAAAGTTCTGACATTGTATAAGGAAAATAAAACAATGGATAAAATAGATTCCATAAATGAACTTCCCTTGTGTGACAATATCATTTTTGATAAGGATAGTAAAATAATATAATAAGCAAGACAAGGTGTTATAAAAAATGATGCTAGAATAACCAATATTTAAATAAATGAACTTCAGTCTCTGCCAAGAACCACAA